GGCTCTCAGTCGCTCCCACTCAGCGTCCAACGCTGCTTTGGCCTTCGGAGTTCGAGCAACCTCATCGCGAGGGACGAGCCTGGCAACTGCACAGAAGAGCTCGAAAGCGACTTGGAACTCGATTTGCTTGATACGCTGTGCGATAAGCTCCCGAATCGGAAGACGATGCGGCTCAGGTTGATCAAGCACTTTCCGCGGCATTGCAGGTGCTCCAAACCTCATTTGCGGCGTGGGCACGGCTTCCCAGCTAGTGCTCGTGTCCGTAGCACAAGGGCTTCGGCACGAACCGAGCTGAGAAGAAGTCGCTGGACTTGTGGTCTTTGAACCTTTGCTGGAGGATGACTTTGCTTCGTCCATTTCTTTCAGCAGTTTTGCTCGATCTTTTGGGCCGAGCGTTTTCCAATAATCCGATGGGATGTCCTTGGGGCGTTTGCTGCCTTTGTACGTCTTCACCACTCAAAGACCATCCCAATGGTAACCTTCAGGAATAGGGACCCCGGCCGGCGTGGTGTCGGGCTTGTAGTCCTCGGCTTTGTCAGCTGCCGTGACTTCGATTTCGGGTTCCTCACCCCCCTGTTCAAGTACACCTTCTGGAGCTTCGGATGGTGTGTACTCTGCAAGGTCAGCATCCGCAAGTGGAATCGGATTGGGAGACTTGATGAGGTTGAGCTTTGGGTCATCAGGGATAGCTTCCTTACGATCTTGTTTGACACGCAATGGAAAACTAAAACCACCTGGAAGGAGCTCAATTTTCTTTGTCCTCTGGATCGTCAAACTGTTGTGTTCAACATGGTAGTCTAGTGCTTCCAACTTAGCAACTAGATACTCCCCACGCCACTTGTGTCCTGGCTGCACATGGTAACCAAGAAACACGCCTTCCACCGATGTGGGCGACAGCTTTCCTGCTGTATTGTCGGCTTGATTGGGGTTATTCCAGCACAGGACTTTTGCACCAAACGGAATGGCCATACCTTCGAACATTTCTCCAAAACGCAGTTCCCATGGGCTTGGAGATGTGTCCAGCTGATCACTCGTGTTTGTTGCCATTGCAAAATGTTGAATGGCGAGTGGCCAGTACTGGAGGGGCATTCCGGACTGAACAAGATTGGTGCGTGCTCCCTCAAGCATATTCCTAACTTCCCTTTCAATGAAGCTCTTGGAGGAGTCCACGTATTCAACGGAGGTTTGGTGGCGATACCCTAACTCCTTGATACCAGCTATCAGCTCACGGGAATTGTCGGTGTAAATGACCTCGACTGCATCATCCGGGGCAACAAAATGCTGAAGAGCAACCACTACCTCATCCGAACTTTTGGACTGAGCTGGGTAAATACTCCGGAACTTTGTATGCAGGTCTTTCACAACCAAAGCTACCCGTTCACCACGACTCCCTTCTTCGATGTTCGCGCGCACGACGACGTGGTCGGCGATCAGATGATCACCGAAAGCCTTAGTCTGAATGCGGCTCTCACCCCCTTTCTTTCGTGCCTGTGGTGCAAGCATCCTTGCTCGCTGACACACTTTGCAGAATGGGTTCTTGGGGAAGTGGTGATACTGGTGTTTTGCGGACTGTGCTTCACGCATCAAGTCTCCAACCTTTCGTGATCGCACCAAACGGCTTTCTTCATCGTCTGGCACTTCCTCGTCAATGCCCTCGTCCTCTTTCTTATCCGATGGGCTCGAGATTGCTCCCGGCATTGCAAACAGCTTCTTCAGAGGCTTATCCTTCTTGAACTTGCCCTTTCCAAAGACTTTGCACTCGGAGTCGAGGACCGGGACATGACCATCAACACGAAGTTGAACGATTTTCTCATCTGGTCGCACCAGGATCGGGGTACCGTTTGCCGGCCACACGAAACTATACCCTTGGTCAAGGCATTTGATGCCAACTGAGAGCACAGCAGGGCATTCATCCAGCAAGTACGGCGTGCAAGGCTCCAGTAGCTGCTTCATCTGGACGTCAGCTACCTCACTGGCTTCGGTCGATCCACTTGCAGTAATCAGACTGATGGTGTGAGGAGCCCGTCTTGGGTTCTCCGCACCAGCAGCGTCCATAACTTTCCTGCTGAGGAGGTCTTGCTCACTCCCGGAATCAACAAGCCATGAGAACCTGCCTCCCCTTGGTGCTGGACCAGCAACGATAGTCGGGATGGTGGTAGGACATGTTTTCAACTTGATCAAGCTTCGACACTCACGACAAGTAAGCGACGATTCGGTGCACAGAAAACGACATGAGGGCACGGTTGCACGATCAAAGCTTCGAACAACTTCAGCCAACTGCCTAGCTTTTACTTTGGCCATGTGGGCTGCCTTTGGGTCGCTCTTGGGCACACGATCGCTCGTGGCAAAATGCACGCTGTACTTGCGCTGACGCTTGACCATCTTGCAATGTTCCCCGCGAGCAGGGATAGTGCGAATCTCGGGTTTCATAACAAATGTAGTCCTTCGGACAGACGACTTGGACCTTTTCCTCGCTGGAGGAAGACAGGACTTCTTGAGACATGACCGTCCGGGCACACCAGTTGCAAGACATGCAAACCGATTGCTCAGGCAAATGGCAGCTTTCTTAGTATCCCCTTTTGCCTTTGGCTTTGGGGAGTCCTTTCTTGGCTTCGTTTTCGGAGCCGGTGCTGCCTTTTCTCCATGTTTGAAAAGCACTTGTCTCCTCTTCTGCATGTACCTTGTTGATCGTACCTGCATGGGGTCTTTGCCATCTCCTCCTTAGTCATTCGCTTCTTTTCCTTATCTGTGCTTTTGTCCCTCGACTCATTCCGCTCCCGGGATGGTTGGCGCTTCTTGGAAGGATCGCGCTTGGGCTTTTCATGCTTAAACTTGCAATCTTTCCCTTTTGCACACTTTCCCTCCAAAAAGGCCCAACAAATGCCCTTCTCCCGAGAAGTGGATCGTCCGCGCGATGGCGAACGCTTCCGCCGAGGATCAACAGTAGGGGCTGCGTTCTTCTCATGTCGATCACCTGGCTTGAGCCGATTTCGCTCAGCAATACGTGATCGATTCTCACGAAGGCGTTCCCGATCTATCAGGTCCTTGGTACTTTGCAGTAGGAACTTGTAAGACCGATGATGGTCACCTTCTTTTGCACGATCAAAAAGATCGATGTCGTACCTCAGGATTGTGCTAGTGCGGATCTGCCTCAAAAGGATGTCTCGAAGCACGTTTTCGTGCGGTGGTTCGGGCATACCAGCGATGGTAGCGTCCCAGCGGTTGATGAAACGCTTCAAGTCCGCTACAGTATCGCCTACCTTTACCACATTGAGGAGATCTTCAACCCTGTAGAGGCTACCCGCTTCTTCCGAGGTCTTGAAATAGTCATCAAACATGAGAAGAATCATCCTTCCTCGAACCTGGATGCCTAGCTTTGCCTTCTCTTCTTTGTAATTGATGATTCGGTTTGCTAGATCACCCTTTGCACTTCTGGTCAGTGCAGCTGCCAACTTGGTATCCAACGTTGTGAACTTCCCAGGGTTAGACAACCGCTCTTCCAGAACTTTTCTCTCATCGACGGTGTTGTAAACCTCCATTAACCAGTCCCAGGCCGCATCTGGTTTGTCAGAACATGACTTGATTTCGTCCCTCACATGGTGTTTCCATTGCCGATAGGTTTCAGGGGTTGGCATGTCATTCAACTTGATATGATCTGCCTCCTTTACCTTTGGCTTCTCATCTGACTCTCTTTGAGTGAGTGACTTGACCAGTTCAATCACCTGCTCAGAGGTGATAGCACCTGACGACGCTGGCTTATGGGGTTCGCGAATTGAAGGTGCAGGGCTATGGAACAAATTTGTCGGTGTTTTGCCCCCATCCGCTGCGGTGCCTCCGTAAACTGGAAGCACAGGCTTGATAGGAGCAGCTGCCCCTAGTGGGGCATCACCGATGATGGTGGCCGTTGGCGCTTTGGGTGCGAACAGTCCACTCAAACGTGCAGTAGCCTCTGCTGCAATGGTCTCCAGAGGATTTTTCCTCTTTGTGTCATCATGTCTAGGGGTAGACACTGGTGTGTTCATGACACTTGTTGGATGATACTCTAGCTCGGGTCCAGCATGCATTTTGGCTTTAAGGTCATCGAGCATTTGCTGCAGACTATAGTTTTCATTTTCTGCGTCACGTAGCTCACGTCGAAGCTGAGTTTCCCGCTCATCGAACTCTGCACGAAGCGTTGCCACACCTTGCTCGGCACCACTGGTGATGGCAGCGACAGTTTGCTGACAATCGTGCATGAGCTGAATGCGCAAGGAGTCCAGTTCTGCTTTTCTGGCTTCAGCCTCACTGGACCTTTCACTCTCTAGCTTGAGGATTCGCGCTTTTGCAGCACTTAGTTCCCCTTGTACTTGATTGTAGCTAGATTGAGCTTGTTGCTTTACCGAACTGAGTTCCTCATGATGCTTGCTCGCTACTTCATCGATTGCTTGACGAAACTTGGTTTTTACCATGTTCAGCCATTGTCCCATTATTTCTTTGTGCCTTCTCTCTGCCTCAGCAATGATAGCGTCTTCGTTTCCGTTGTACACCTGTTGGATATTTTGCTGCACAAACTGAAAGTAAGCTGTGACAGGAGCTGAACCGATGGGGTCATCTAGATCCACCGTGGGCTCGGTCATGAGACCGGCTGGGACTGCTACCGATGATGTACCGTTCCCAGGAATAGCAAGAGCGTCCATGGCTGTGGTTAGAGCACTACGGCTGATAACCTATAGAAACAGCCGTTAAGCTGCAACTCCTGTTTTGGGCCGCGAGCTGCAAAAGGTGAAGTCATGACATCCTACTATGTGCAAGGTACAAAGTGTACATATTACATGGAGTGAAAATACAGCTATCTTTTACATCTTTGGAGACCTGACTGGTACATCTCTTCCACAAATCTTAACCGTATACCGTATTGTATATATATATATCTTGTGTATTCTTGTGGGCAGATCGGTCCAGGATGTAGGCCTGCAAATAGTCACTCCATCTCAGTCTCAACCCCTCCGCCGCCGGGGCACATGCTCAAGGGCTTCGTGCCACCTGGCGATGGCAAGTGCATCGCAACGAAGACAACCTGGGCTGTGGCCCGTGCATGGTGCGGGGCGGGGCATGCCCCTGGCCGGCCAGGCCTCTGGTCGACTGCAGGGAAAGAAAAAAACAGGTTGCGAGAGGACAAGTTTGCTTCTTGGTGTCCTTTTCCTTTTTTGCTGTCCCGGGCGTAGACACAAAATGTTGAGATGTCCAAGCTTGTCACGCTTCCTTCTCATGCATGTCAGCGTGTCAAACAACTCCAGGGACCGATTAGTTGCAAGTTGCGGAAATCCTGGAACCCTACCCATCCAGCTGTCTCCCTTCCAGCTGGGTCTTAAATTGTGCATTTAGGCCAGTGACCTGCTGAATAGGCTGCAGTCCTTAGGATTGGGCCCTGGAGGGGCCTCAGCATCGAATCCAAGCCACAGACTCCAGCACCATGGCCATCACAAATGCGTGCATCGCTGAAAGCTGGAAGTAAGCCACACCTCAAGAGGAACGAAAGGCGTCAATGGGATGGATTCTCATCAAAAAAACACAACGTGTTGCAGAGTGTGGGTCAGGAACAGGTACGAACTTCGTTGCAGGAAATCCTCACGCTCGGCATGGAGTGGTAGCTCAGTAGGGCACTCTGCTCGTGTGCACTTGATCGGAAGAAGCACACCCTGACAGGTCTCCACCGAGGTGACGTGATCTACAGAATGTCTGGAACCTGGAGAGGGAGCATCTTCTTCCAGTCCAAGACTTGCACATCCACGGTGAATTCATGGTTTGAGTACTGGAGGATCAAAGGGCATATGCAATGACATAAAGAGCGGGAGCGTTACGTCAAAAACACGTGAAGCCAAAGAAGACCATGAATGAGCACAGCCTATCAAAGCAAAGCTCACCACATTCGCCAATGGACTTAGTTTACAGGGTCCATGGAGGAGTGTCGATACCCTCCGGACTGCCCCAATGGCGGAACTGCAAACACCATCCGTCCGATCCCGCTGGACCTGCCGGGGGTGGACGTTGGGCAGGGTGCTGAAGGGTGTGACCCTCATCTGGCCAACAACAAGCGAACCTGGCTGACTTTCCGTCCAAGCTGCCGGCTTCAGCCAGGTTATACCTGAGCGCACGCAGCTGCAACAAACCACGATATACATAAATGTCATTTATATGCATAAGATTTTTGGACACTCCAGTTCAACCAAGATGTCAACCCAGGTCTTTGCATCAACAAACCAACGGGTATGAGTTTTAAAATGTCTATAAAGTAAAAACAGCAGGGGTCCTTGGATAGTTTCTTTTAAGTGTTCCAGGGAATCTGCGGACTGCACATGTCGGTTACAGCCATTTGGAAATGCCGGGAGGGCTCTATCTGCCTTCACTGACCTTCGCCCAGCTCACAGCATCTCCCTATCTTCGCGCCGGGCCACAGCAACCAGCCTCGCACAGGAAGTTCCTTCGGTGTCTCAGCCGGAACCAGAGGTCAAAGCCGAGCTGGAGGCTTCAAAAAGGGTAACACCCTGTGTTCAGTTTTCAGAGGTCAACAACTTGATCGCTAGAGGACATCGGTGGAGGACAACGTGAGAAAAAACGAAGAAACGGAGTGTGAGAATTACATGGTCTGCAGGTTACTATATATTCTATGTGGACTTATACAACTTCTATTATGGGTATTGATGTTTTGGGTCACCTACCAAAAGAACGTGCACCATCTCTTGTTCTATCTATACGCGGGCCCAGACGAGATATGGTGAATGGACGCCCTTCCACTATCCGACTACCCCTTCCTCTAAGGAGCTTTTGATGAACATCCCTTAGCAGGCTTTGCCTGATGTCATTTCGGGAATTCAATTCTTTCCAGAAAAGAGCGGCATTTCCTTCACCCAACGGTCGCCTACACCGCCTAAATGGACTGCCGAGGTCCAGCGTTCATCAGAATCCGGGAACTCAAGGTACCCCATGTTTGGCAGCTTGGATTCCAGCCCCCCCCATCAATGAATCCATCTGGTACAATGTGTTTCCATTTCAACATGTGAACCTGAAGGTTTTCGCCTCCGCGAAAACGCTCCGTGTTCAACCCGACCCATTCCTTTCGCTGGGCTCCTCGTTGATGGCCACGTTCCTGGCGCTTCAGGACACCGGGGAGCGCTCCGGTGGAACTGGCCCAGCACCGGCGTCCAGTCCATCGGGGGCTCTGATTCTGAGCGCGTTTCGTACGTCTCTTCACGTCGGGGCTCGGGGAAAGCATCGAACGCAAATGGAGCCCTGAAGGAGAAAAGAGACGGAAATTGGATGCCAGAGATATATATATATATTACTCACATCACCTGTGGGCTTGTCGTGGAATAGGAAGAGCCCCCGGCCCCCCAGCTACTGGAGGGTGTTCTTCGATGTTTTGGGATCCGTCGGAGTGTTCCTCTCTCAGGTGGATCGGGGGGACCCCTTTCTGCCACGAGAAGAAATGATTCGTCTCATCCTGGCAGACTGGCAGACTGGTTGGTCTTCGCATTGGACCACAAACAGGTTGCATGAGACTTCCCACAAACAGGTTGCCGTCTGAGTGGCATCACCTGCCCCGCTGCTCAACAAACGTCCAGGAGACACATCCAGCAACCCAAACTGATGGCAGAGCCATGGCTTTGGCTGAGAGGCAAGTGGAAGACCACGTCCCAAAAGATGCAAATCCAGAAATTCTCAGACTGATCGAACACCTCCTTGGTCGAGCTTCGCCACATGAGGGAGTCTTTGACCAAGGTGCATCGATCCTGGTAGAGCCGAATCTGTTGGCTCAGGGGTTCTCATCAGTCTCCCTACTCTAAGCCTTTGCTTGAAAGCACTGTTGAAGTATCAAATCTAGAGGAGCCTGGCCTCAAGCCCCGAAATCGCGAAGGAACGCAACAAATCGTAAAGCAGCCACCCCTCAAAACCCTCACCGAACGCCACAAAGGCGGCCGGGCTGAGTTTACTGAGCATCACTCACCCACGACTGGATCTGAAAGGGCCAAGTAAGACTTGAAAAAGTCAACATTCTCCACATGGCTCCGGCATGCTCCGGCTACCTCTTTAAGTGCATCTAGGAATCAAGCAGCAACACGCCACTGAGCTGGCTGAAAAAAACACCTAGCAAAAAGATAAACACGATCCATTCTATTCAATAATGGTACAGTGGTTTCAGAGTAGATGGCACAATCCCCAAAAGGTGGTTTATATGGACCCCCATCTAGAAGACATGTAGGGGTTTGTGCCATCTACTCTGAAACCACTGTAGTATTCAGCACCCTCCCTGCAACAATCATGGAAGTGGGCAACCCCCTCTTGGCAGAGGAAAATCGTCTTTCAAGGGGCGAGAACATCCACTTCCATGCTTGCTTTCAGGGAGTGTAACCAGTCCAATGAAACAGAACACAAAGAAAAACAAGCGACACATGACCACCTCAAGTGCCTCTTTCCCACTCGCAAAGCGCGGGCAGGGCTCAAAGAACTGGATGAAGATCACCCAGCCATTCAGCAGTTCGATGGCGAACATGAACCTAAGGTCAGCAGCGGGATCCACCCGGGAATGTACCAAGAACACTGCAAACTAATTCAGAAACATCTGTAACAAAGCTACTGAATGGTTCAAGCTGGGATCTACCGTCTGTATAGTTCCCATAGTCTGAAGTAGGAGGCCATGCTGCCATGCTGATCTTTGACTCGTTGATGGCGAAGCCCATCCAAGCCCATGGTCCCTCCCGTCCCCAGCGAAAACGTCCTCCGACCATGTTGTTGTCATTCCAAGTTCGTACTTCCAGCTTTCCGGCACACGGTGATATGCTGGAAAAAATGGAAAACAGGGTGAATAACATTGAATAACCAACACCAGAAGAAAAGAACCAACTCAAGAAGGAGCTACGTATCTGATCCGACCAGCGCTGGTCTTTCTTTAAGCCTCTGCCGCATGATCACGACCTGGTACGATCACCGTCGATATCACTGGTCTCCACCTCCCCCCGCATCTTCCTTCGGTCACCGTTGTCTTCCTGAAGACGCCCAAAGACGCCACGATGAAGACCCCCACGGCGAAGCCCATGGAGGCCTCACTGAAGAAGGGCATGTCTAAGGTGAAGCCCAAGGAGCTCCTTGGAGCAACGACACGTGGAGGTCACGAGAGGATCCACAGCCACATAAGTGGATGGCATAAGGTGCCGGGTGCTGGGTGATGATGGGTTTCACATGCATCATCCTCTTTCACCATGGTGCTTCGAACCTCCAAATGCCCAAGCTGGGCTTTCCAGCAGGACACTTGGAAACTACACACCTCTAGGAGGATCACCTTCCCTGTCCGTGCTTGCGGGCGGTGGTCGATCAAGGCCCTATCGATCGGACCAGATCTTCAAACGTCTCCGTCCGTCGCTCATCTGTCAGGGCTCAAGGATCGGCGGTCCAGACCTTGGGTCGTTCGGCCCGTGCAACGAGCAAGGTGATGGCCATGGTTTTGTGTGCCTTCCGTCTTGACAGAATGGGAAGCACATGAAAGCACGATTCATATTTACAAAAACACACATATATATAGCATAATACATATATATATATAACATTATATAACCAAAAAACAACCTGAGACCGTCTCACAATCAGGCGTGCCGTCCAACCACAAGCCACGCGGCCCCACTTTTCAAGAGCCTATCGAACAGGCTACTGATCCTGATCCTGATCTTCGGCCACATGCGGCCAGACACCAAGACCCCTCACAGAGTTGATCGAACAGTTCGTACAAGCTTTTGGGAGGATGAACGATACTGAACCCATCTATATGGGTTCGGTGGCTCCGGCCCAGCAAATAGTAATGGTGCAGATGACTCATGAGTCCTCACCATCATGGTAACGAGCTTTCTCAATGATGTTTGAGTGTCTGTTGATCATTCAGGTTCCGATACTAAGACCCAAAGGGTCTAAGAGTTCATTCCTTTACCGTCTCTATCCGTCTCTCGAGGTGAGATAGTCTGATTCACTTGCGCCTGGTCCTACATGCGCAACACAAGGCAACACCCATATATGAACACACAAGTGTCTACCCAATTTACTGGAAAAGATTGTAAAAGCCTTCCAGGAGGCATAGTTTAGCTTCTGCAGGTGCCTATCAAATCAGCATCAAAAAACAGGCCTCCGGTCTCCTCCGGTTCTTTGCCCAGATGCTCACGCACATGAACCATACACCCAGCAAAGCACCAACACCTCATCGCAGGAGCTGAGATTGCTGAAGCTACTCTTAAAAATGCTGTGAAGAGTGGGGTGTCCTCCAGTCAGTTTGCTTTCGTTTCGTGCTTCTTCTACGACCACACTTCTCATGATGAAAAAGCTTGAGCCAAGACACCCATGCCACAGCGCATGCAAGCATCCTTGCCTCAGACCAGGAGCAGGATGACACACCTGTACTATCATCCACCTGTCTCACGGCAAAGCTAGGCAACGCCCTCATCATCTTCCTGTATAATACAAACATGTTTGACACGATTGACATTGGTGAAAACTAGCCTCCCCATAGAAAACCCTTAGCTTGAGGTCTCTCGAACATACTGTGATTTATGGATTTGGTCAAAAAATTGTGATAAATGTTTCCTTAAAGGCTTTACATCCAAACTCTCGCAAATTGTGGCGTGCGCAAGAAATCACGATGCCGAACATCCGAATCACGCAGAAAATCAGAAAGTCCGAGCATCAGCGCTGGCGACCGGTGACATGGTTCAGGAAGAAGGGTTGTCCCACTCTGGACTTATAGGGCTGCAGTTCCTCAAAGGATCCAGAAAAATTGGACATGTATTTTTGATTTGGGGTAGTTCCAGGAATCCTCCAAAAAAGGCACATTCCATTGTACGCAAGGCTGTTAAAGGGCTTTATGACAGGCCCCGGTATGGTTGTGCGTTGGGCATATTATCGAATGCATATACTGCACTATAGTCATACGCCTGAGGCGGGTTTCTGGTCCATCCATGTGCACATAAACATACATAGATCTACAACAAGGTAAATGCACCAGCACTAGGCGACAAATCACGGACTGTGGACCTTTTATTATCTCTTTAGTGATAGAACGCCTAGGGTGGAACCAGGACCTTCTGCAACCGTTCTGAAATCCTCTAGACTCTAGACTCTACTGAAATCTTACACACTGCAAGTAGTTGTGTGTGTGTGTGTGTCCGTCTGTTCTGACGATCTGCTGCACCACCTTGACGCCGGCATCAAGTGGAAGTTTCTATGTTCAAAAGCAGCTGACTCTCTCTCTCTCTCCCCCTCTCTCTCATTGTCAACTAGGTGGGAGTGAAACGTTAGGTGGGTGATCCCCAGCCTGACAAGAGTCCTCTCTCTGAGCGACTCCGAGTTCGACTCTTGTCCCGACCAGTCCACCCTTGTGTCGCACCTTTGGCAGCTCAATCGCTGGCCATGTGATACGCCTTGCAGGGGGAAACGAAAGAGGGCGAACTTGGCGATGTATATATACACTCCGAGCAGATGTGAGCAAATGCATGAAGGAATTTGGAGTCCAAATGGGGTGCGCATGATAAGTCCATATGATTCACTCGTTGGTGTTAAAGATTGGATGGCGATAGAACATGATAGAACCACACTCCCCATCACTCCCCAATGGAGTCAGTGGAATGCCACATGCTGTAACTGTCGCCACGGTCACAGGGGAATCCTCGATCACCCAAGAACTTCTGCAGTCAGATTCTCAACCAGGAATGGTCCGACCCCATCTTTCAGATGTCACAGAGACCCTGAGAGATCACAACCGCCTGGAACATGTCACCAACACTTTCAAAATCCTCCCACGCTTGGTTGCCATGATAGCTTGGTGGCAAACACGTGTACAAACTGATGTGGGGCTTGCATGCCAAATATGCCAGGGCTGCGTAAGGGCATGCAGTGAGGACAGCGGACAGGTATCGCATGATGTCTTATTTTGGGTATATCATGGTATACCGGTATATCGTGAGTTCTTCTGCAGGAAAGCCATGTCCACTATTTAATGGCGTTTTGGCACATTGATTGCAGAATTTCTCTGGAGTAGGGACACGTTGAGCAAAGAACACAGGTTGACCCCATTAAAACCTGTCATTCCATTCCATTCTACCACCTCCTGCCGGGCTGCGAGTCGTGGTGGATCACCTCCTCTTTCAAGGGATCCCAGGGCAAATCACCTGTGATGCATGACTTGAAAACTCAAAAACTCGACCCTCCTCCCTGGCCATCTGAAGCCTATTCCTGTTCTGCACGAGGCCCGGGCCTATTCAGGGTGGGGGAAGATCGTCGATTAATATGTAGCCGTTGAGCTTGCTAAAACGCAAGACTCTGCGGAGCAACTGCTAAGTGTTCATGGTGAGTCTGAGGAGCCCTGATGTTCCCGCTGCCTTGGTCCATTGCAGGTCACCTCTCAGATGTACAATCCAAAATCTCTAAAATTGTCTGTTGCGCTCCCCGAATTTGATATTAATAACAAGGAATTAATAGCGATGCAGTGAGTAATTATTGCTATATATATATATATGTAGTAAAATGTAAATTTATGGAACATCTCATGTCTCCAAAGAACTGGCACATTCTCTATCGGCGTGTTCTTACCAGGGTGGAATCGCTGATCTCACCAAATCGATCCAGTCATCTCTCCCCGCCATCGCCCACCTGGATCTCCGCAAATGCGTCGGGCCAGTTGCAACCCTCAGCTCCGGACACGAGATGTCGACGTGTGTCAAGCTACCCAGAGAGGTGGCTGTGGCTGAAACATTCCATGAAAAGACCTGCAGCTTTGGATGTGGATAGTTCTTGAACCTCAAATCCAACCTCAAAATGAGCGGACCGAACTACCAGCCCTTAATGTCAGCCAAGTACTCTGGCTTTGGGACAGATCACGTTCGCTGCCCGTTGCCTGCCCCTTCACCATCGTACAGACAAGACGTCACGCGGCGCCAACACTTTCAATCAATCTATGGTTGACTGCAAACGAAAACGACCCAAAACCGCAGCCCAAATGCCAAGGCCCAGGAAGAGATCATTCAAGAGACCCTGACGTGCGAGCCATGTCCAGCTGGGCTCAAGCATGCTGCTGTGATGGAAGAAATACAATCAAGTTTGGAAAGGCTTCATTGAAAGACTTTGAGAACCGTAGACGCATCCAATGATGGCTCAACAGTTTTGCATTCTAGAAGATGGACTGTGTCAAGATGCCACGCAATACATAGAATGTGTGGCCAAAATCCCATGTCACCACTCAGATCTGCACACCCTGACCTGGGTCACAAAGAAGATAGGCAAGCGAAGAAAAATGCCTCAAGGTGGAAGGGTGTGAACTAGACGAGGACAAAAGTTCATCAACTGTCAAGGTTTGAATGCCGTTCAAGGGTTTACAAGCGATGTTAAAGAAAGATCGAGTGGCCTGGCACTCTCCATCCTATAATTTTAAAACTTTTAAAAACAAGCATCATTGCAGCATGTTGCGGCCACTCCCTGCACACCATCATGACCCCAAGTGGAACAGAAATGGCTTTGGATGGTCGTCCAATCGTTTTGCAAGCATGAGATAAAGGTGCAAGTCCGATTTGCATGCAAATGCTTCACCCCAAAACTCTAGAGCAACTTGTGCACATGGAAACTGTTCACCGCCTTAGCCTCGCCTTTGCATTGTTTTTGCATCTATTGGATGAGATAGGGGAATGCAACCTTGCTTTTCTCACATAACGAGATGCCCGACCTGTTGATTCGGGTGTCACATGGGTTCAATATGGTTCATATACTCTTGAAATCTCTTGAATACCGAATGCCAGGCCATGGGTGTCACTCGCCTCCTCACTTGCCCATCCCATCCTCTCATCTCACCATCTCCGTTAAGCCACTGGTCTTTCTCTCCACCTCGACAGAAGGCGACTTGGACTTGGCAAGGTCAGCACAGCCCGAACCAGAACACAACAAAGGTAGGGTTCAGGAGACTACCGCAACATGAGGTCTGGAAAGGTTATATAGATATAAGTTGTCTATAACAACGAGCCCCATGAGCTTTCATGAGGCTTTTGAGTCTCAGTGAGGTCTATGTAGGTGCAGAGTAGTTGCAGTAGTTTTAACCATCTTTTGCCCTTGGTTTTGCCGGCCTGCCCGGCCTGCAAATCGATCTTGTGACTATATACTACTTTAAAAAAAAAAAAAAAAACACACACATTCATATGGCAAGGCCAGGACCGCCTGTTCTGAAAAAGTCAAATAAAAGGCAAAGCCAAATGGAGAGAAAAGTCAAGATTAGAACACATCTCGAAAAAGCCAAAAACAATTGCACATAGAAGTCAAAACAAGTTAACATCTAAAAATCGGCTCAAGGCCAACTGGCTTGTTTTGTGCCTTCTTTTCGACTTTCTGAAACTTTCTGATTTGACTTTTTTGCAACTTTGACTTTTGGCAGCAACTAGTAAGTTGATGTTTTACGTTGTTTAATAACATATTGAAAAAAAGGCTCTCTCCAATGAAAATGTTTGTAATGCTATAGACTATAGTGTACATAGTTACTATGAACCCTTCAACCATGCAGCCCAATCTGCAGCTCACTTCTTTTCTCTTGAGGTTCGCTCTTGGAGAAGGGCATCAACGATGGCACCATCAACCCTTCGCCACTCTTCCCCCGCCAGTTGTCTGATTTGAGGCATCTTTGCCAATCTGAACTCAAACCCGCCAGTGTGCTGCCGGCGTCCTGCCAAGCAATGAAAAATACTTCCACCGGATACTTGAAGTGCATTTGAAGCGCCGTTGATGGAAGGATGCCATCTCCATCCCTCTCTGCTACCACGAAGTCTACTTTCGACCGGTTTTCCATCTGACCTGGTGCGTGCTTTTCCATTGGCATATCGGTGAGCTATATTTTCAGCAGCTGTGACATACTCCAGGTTAACAACCGAATTGTTCCCTTTGTCCAGGTCTTTGTGGTTGACTTGGTCCTGCTGGCTCGCAGAGGGGCCCAAAAAGGCAAATGCCACCAGGCGATGAATCATTTCAGTACGTCTGCTGAAACCCAGGCTGAGTGAGGTCACGTTGTAGCCCTGCTTTGTCTGGCACCCTCTTGAGATGATATTAGTTTTGGAGCGGATCCTGCCAAGTGAACTCACAAATCTTCCAGCTACCTTGGAACCCGACATGGGGTCAAGCATTTCTCGCCACTCCTCCCCATCAAGCGCGGCGGCCTCACCACGATCAGCAAGCTGAATCTCAATGCCCTTAGCTGGCTTGCCATGGCGGCATCCCCTGGAAATGGTGTCAATGCTCATGCCGAGTTGTTCTGCTGCTTGCGTCATGGAGGGCGAGATGGTCCAGCTGTGGGACCCAACAGGTCTCCACATCACAGGCAGTGACTGTTGAGGACCACCTGTGCGCCTGGGTTTTGCATAGGATTCCTTCAGATTCTGGCTTTGCGTTACATACTCCAGGTTGTCCAAGTGATTATTGGAGGGATTGCCATCGCGGTGGTGAACTCTCCAAGTGTCATCTGCTGGCGGAGGTCCCCGGAAGGTGAAGACCACCAATCGATGGACAAAGAATTGAGTGCAAGAAATGTTGGCCACACGGTACCCCGATGATTTCAAAGATCCATACGATATCATCCCTCTTGTGTTGCAAACGCGTCCATGCGTGCTCACTTGCCATTCCTTCTCAACCCTTAGCCTCTGGACGGTCTGACTGCCCAAACACCGGCCTTTGAAGACAGGACTCCTACTGGGCATGCGCCACGCACCCAAAACGGTTGCCATGAACCCATGAAATATGGACGGCAATTCCCTGATTTTAACTCTGGCGCTCGCCCAATCGACCTAGATAGTTTCTCCTCAACAACTGCTTGCCTACCATGCAATCCTGTGAAAGTGATCAATGTTGAAGTGCTGGAACAAACCTAAACAGCTGGGCAAAGCCATGCGTCAACCAAGCTTGGGAGGGAGAGAGAGGCAGGGGGGAGAGAGAGAGAGAGAGTCCAGCATCGAAATGGGCCAGTAAATCTGTCGTTGGGTCCAGATCAACCATCCCATGGATTCCACCCGAAAGTAAACATGAAATCACGCCTTGAGGCAGTAACCTGTTCCTGATTTCTGGACGCCAGAAGCTAACCTCATGCCAACTGCACTCTCCTTGGCCAACCGGCTGTGGCTGACAAACCCCGCCAGGCCCTCCAGGCAGTCATTCAGCTACGACTTACCTTTTCTTATGTGGGGGGGGGAGTTGCAAAGGAGAGCACGTGCCTCCAAACACCAAGAGCAATTCTCCAATGCATCTTCTTGACAGGATTCTTGACAACATGTTTCTATCTAGAATCTAGCTAAGCAGCTAGGAACCCATTATAGTTATCAAAAAAAAACATGCACAAAAAAAAGATCACACATACATATGTTATCCTTATATAATTCATATGTATATAGATCACACAATATGATCAACTACACCGTCCCTCCCACGCCCCACCGGTCGCCTCGGAGTGAAAGCTGTCGCTGGCGCCGGCGATGAGGCCGAAGCCACAAACCAGCAGGCAGGCCACCAGGCGGATGCCCAGCATCAACAAAGCACCTGAGAGGTTTCGTTTTTGGTTGAACACATCCCAAAAAAAAAATGTGTTGTTTTTCTGTTTTTGTGCCTGGTTCAGTGTATCTCCACTTATAAATCTCTATATATCACATACATATACATACATATATAGATATATATGTCATATATATATATATATTACACTCAAAAATATGGATGGATATGTATCCTGCTTTCTCCTCACGGACGGAGAGAGTCAGGTAATTAAGGGACCAAACTCACCATCCACGTGGGGGGGGTTCACATCGATGTATCGAAAGGGCCTGGTGGATGACAAGACCCCCACGGGACATAGTTCAAGTGAGGAATATGGAACGGTTCGCCGTCTAGGAAGCCTCTTAGGGCAGTGGGTCAGACATGCTCCAGCTCACTCACGGAAAAATAGATCACGACACCAAAAGCCCTCTGAGTATCACACTCTGCGGCTTCTCTTGGCTCTTCGCCGCCTGAACACAGCGAGAGAGGTTGAGTTCGAACAATGTACACTCCCTGGAACTAACATGGAAATGGAGAATGGCCCCGAAAGGAAGACCATTTTCCACTACAAACTGGTGGTTTTCCACTTCCATGTTAGTCCAGGGAGAGCGTGCCAGCAAGCGGAGCGAGGAAGGCGCTGTAAGGCGCTTCCTGCTTAGCACCTTCGCGATTTCCCCATCTGCTGTGCTCCAAAAGCACACTCGGTAGACTGCGAACAAGTGAAATCCCTGCAGCTGTGCTGTTTATGCTTGTTCATGTTGGTCTAGGGAGGTAGCGAAAGCATGCGGAAGCTGATGAGTCATCTCGTATTTGTGCAAATGCAAGTGCTCATGGCTCCTCACGGTGCATTTGGAGTACGGCAGGGGACGCCGAAAGTGTCTCTTTGAAGTTCGTTGAACATGTTGCCGTAGGGATTGGATTTAAACCGTTTAACCAAACCGCTACTATCGTGGCCCTACCTCCAACCATCCCCGGGTATAAGAAGGTATAAAAAATGTTCGCATGCTTTGTCTGCGCATGATGGGGATGCAACCCACACCCACCCAAAGCAAGAGTTGCTTGCCACAAAACCTACCACTCTGGTACCTTTAGTAGAGACACTATATATTATATAATATATATACAGTTCTCACTAGTGTACCAGTCAGGGGGCAGGCACCAATTAGCAATTTGTAACAAATTTGCCGCCTCCACCAAGAGAACTGACGCAACATGCTTCATTGCAGTGGACAGTGGCTGCGTTTTCGAATAGCAAAGCCTCGAAATCACTACTACCCTGATGGTACTGGGCATGTTAAGTGTAGAAAGCAACATCATTTTGAGAGACAGAGACACCCATGTGCCATCAATTTCCCAATCACACAGTCGCTGAGGGGCAAATGTACACTGTACACCACCTGGCCTTTTTCTCCTCCTTCTTGGCCTGGTTCTTCTGACGCTTCATGGTCCGCAAACAAGGGACGGCAGCTGCTCATTGGCTGCTCAAACGGCTGCTCATTGCCCACAAGAGCTGCTGGTTTGCTGTAATTTGAAGTCTGGTGCTCTGCCAAGTTGTGTAAAACAAACTTTCGGGCACGACCCCACTGGAAACCCCTAGACTCTATATAGCATGATCTGCCATATGGATCGGCTCAGGATGTGGATCTCAGGAAATCAAAAACAACAAACACCACTCGATGACGGGTCTTTTTTTCAGGTCTGAGTCGGCTGCCATGTGCTACTGGCTGCGTTGCATGCGGGTTACCGGGCTCCTCTTCAACTGCTTCACGTTGTAACTGCGCTCGAGCATAGCTAGTCCGCTCCGTCCATCTTGCTACGCTTGGCGAGTTTTCTCATCCCAACCCGGAGGCACTCCAGGCACGCTGGGGACAGCCACGCGACGGTCGGCGAGAACGGTGTGCCATTCTAGTGCCAATGCTACAAACGAGGTCATCAAACTCTTGCCAAACTAGCCTATGGATTTCTAAGGTGCTAAGCCGCAAAACTGCAGAACAAGTTTAAAGTTTAAGGAGATTGAAAGATGGCGCCAGGGGCAATAAACCCCCCTTGACAACTCCACACTGAAGGTTGCATGGTTTGGCGCTCGACGGCGCACAACAAAAGGGCAGCATTTGAGGAGCCCGGACGCGCGCAACTTGGCAAACCTGAGCAGGCATTGGATGCCCTTGAAGTGGCGGGTCAGAACTTCTGGGATTCAAGGTTGGAAAAAACAACAAACAAATTATAGATATACATTTATAACTACACTTATATACACCAAATCCACTGCCCATGGCCATATCTTGGGTCCACCCAGCGCCCATTTGAGTGATGGACAACATTTCTATTATTTCGCTGGTGTGCTGGTTGAAAATCCACATGGGAGTTGACCATGAACAGTGGCCTCAAGAACCAAAAAGGCATCATACGTCGCGTGTTTCTACAAATGTGCGATCTTTGCCACGGCCTCCAGAATCCAACGCTGTGATATAGGTTATGAAAGCATCGTGAACGTCGAACAACGACTTGAAGGTCGATGCACCAATCACACGTTCGCTTCCCCAAGCGAGCTACTAGCTCCCTCGCCAAGACCAAGCAAAAGCAAAAGAAATAACATGACCTTCCAAACACCAACCTGCTCGTGGTTCACCACTGTGCACTAGGCCCTCAGCCCACCTGTCCCCAGCCTCCAAACGATACGGGACAGGTGTCGCGTGTCACACTCATCCAGCCTCACATGCACAGCTTGACTGGGTTCAGTCCCTGGAGGAGCCGGAATTGCAACGCCATAGAAGACTTCGAGGGGTCTATGTCTGTCTAGAATATCTTCGGTCGGATGTCTTCGGTCGACTCTGGAGGGTGAAACTCTTCTCTCTGAGTCTCTCCTTCTCTCTTCTAAATGCCGGTCCTTCCTGCAAGATACAAGTACTGCCAATCAAACTCCGTTCGTTCGCCCCCACCTTCGAGTGTAGAAACCGGATTCTTAGAACAGTTTCCATCAAACAACATCCAACAACAAATGTTCTATGGGACATGTCATGTCCATCACAAGACCGGCGACGGGTCGACGCGCGGACTTCGGGTGCCCCGACTGGTGAAGCACAGAGTCGGCCAAGGTGCGCAACCTCTGTCTCGGCCATGAGCTACGGAGTGGAAGACTGTTGGACATGCAGGTAGTACCGGAGTCAAGGTGGTGGTTTTGATATGATTTAGGCTTTGGGATGGCTTAGGGGTGCTTAGGGATTGAAATGCCAGTGGGGGGCGGTTTGGGGATGAGGGTTTGGAGGCAATCTTGAGAAAAGGGGCGGTGAGGCTTGCAGGAAACTGCCCAAAGGTGCCAAAGCGACTTGCTCTACAGGATTGTAGGGGCCACCTGCCCCCGTTTTCCCCAGCGGAATTTACCAAATTCTCTGCCCAAAATATAGTTGCGACAAATCTGCACGTCACGGATTTTGATATATATATATATATTGTTATTTTCTACTGGTTCTGTAGGGTTTTCTATGCTTGTACGATATCAACCCTGAAAACAAAGAGTTGAAGCGGAAAAGTAGCAACTTGAAACCGCCGTCCAGAGTTCCAACGCAATTTGCCACGTTCGACTAAGCCAATACATTTGCTGGTTGCCTGGGTGGCTTTTGGATGGCAACTTCGAATCACCTCAAGGTAGGTCTTTTCTGCAGCCCATGCAGGGTCTCCGCGCAGGGCATCCACCCATTCTTTGGCCAAGGGGGCAGGTGCACGCCTAAAGAATGGCAGCTCTATATACAGTGCAGATCCTCCGGAGAATCGCATGCATGCAAGACGCTCCGGCAACAGGGCACCAGGAAAACGTGTGTTTGATTCTATTAGGAACAATGTTCGCTACTAGGAACAAGTGCATCGCTACTAGGAGCAAGGGCCTTACTAGTAGTAACAAGAAGCTACATGGTTGGGATCCTCCCAGGGTTACTTGTTTCTAATTGAATTCTTGTTTCTAATAGCTTCTTGTTCCTAGAAGTAAGGCACTTGTTACTAGTAGCCATGCACTTGATACTAGTAGCGAACATTGTTTGATGTTGTCTACATGGTTCGGATCCTCCCAGGGCCCTGCAGAGGGTCAGAGGATCTGCCAGGCTTCTGGGGTGGCCTAGAGGCCAACGATTCTCCGGGGTCATCCGTAGGCATGGAACCACTTCCGTGTGCGCGGGCACCTGGGATAGGCTTGAGATCTCTGGGAGAAACTCGAACATCACACCAATCAAATATGATCTAGGCCCAGCTGATGATCTACATCAACTTTAACAATCATTCCACTTTACAACGCCATTAAAGGATATTAAAGGTGTGTTTGTTCTTCGAAGCACGAAGCTCAGCTGCAGATCAGGGCGCCCAGAAGCTCGGATCAGGTCTCCCAGCAAGCTGAAGACGAAGGAACTGGACTCCTTCAGCGGCAGCTGGTGCAGGGGCGGCACATGGATGAAGAGGCACGGCACGAGCGCTCCACGGCAGCGGGCTGTAGGCTTCTCGCGCTCACGGAGCTGGTAGAGGGTTCGGTAATAGATCTCATTGCAGAAAAAGGTGCCTGTCAGAAAAGAGGCCACTCACGTGGGTGAGTTGATGGAGAGGTTTGGAGGATTGTGGACCGGGGTAAATAAATGGAAACAAACTCTTAGTTGAGATGGGGAATGGGTGTGCATCAAGAAAATGAAAGAGATTATGATATTATGATAGATGTTATGACAGCATGAGGGTTGGCATGAGGCATCAAAAATTTGAATATGCCAAGGCTATCAGCATCTGAATCATCATTGTGTTAGCTCGCTGCTGCAGTACAATGGTCTGCTTTCATCCCTTGCCATCACAAGGGGCGTCTGAACACCTATATAGAAGTACACTCGCACACTTCCTTCTCCAAAACCCAGGAAGACTAGCGACTATAGCACTTGGAAGTCCCAAAAATCGGAGGATGCTTCGTGCTATAGTCGCACGTCCAACGTGGCCCTTCCGTCCTTCCGTCCAACCGGGCCAACCGGGCCAACCGGGCCGACCTGCATCTCGGCTCCAAAGCTCATGGGGGTTCTTCGTATTTAGTGCCACGGCCCCGAGATCCCCGGTGGTCGGAAGCAACTTGGGGCCAGTCGGCACCACTGGGCCTGTGCCGGAGAGGTGAGAAGGAAGGAACGGGAAGAAGTCAGAAGGAAAAGCTTAAAAACGGGCTTCTGTAGCACCAAAACGACACATCCCGCAATACCCTGCATCTGAAAATAGGAAGGATCAAACACAAATCAAAACAAGCCATCAAAAGAAATTCATAAATGCCCAGATCTTTAAGTGGTTGAACTTCTTTATGGATTGTACCAGTCACTTTGGGACCTTTGTTTTCAGCGCGCGCATTGAAGGCCATGGTCTCCAGCTTCAAGCCTTTGGCTTCATCCTCAAAGCCTGGGAGTGGTGGGTGAAGCAAAGACGTACAGCGTCTTAGTTCAGCTGTAAGGGATGGGAATGATGGGATGCACGGATCGTGCGTTTGGTCAAAGACCGCATCAGAGAGGAGTTTAGGGGATGTCTTTTACTTGGTTGAGTGATCTTGTGGAGGGGCCACTCTTGGATATTGAGGGTCTATCTGAGAATCTGGTGAGAGTTAGGGCCACTCCCTCGCCGGATGCTTCGATGATTTGTTTAAGCTTTTCTCGCCGGAGCGAGCGACCTAGGCGACCTCTCAGGTGACCGGGTCGCTTTGGTTTCGTCCTCTCGACGGGTCTCATCCCGAGCGACTGAGGATCCAAGAAGCCTAGATGGACAATCGCATCCCAAAGGCCATCCTCGCTGCGGTGAGATCAATGTTTCCAGATGTTTTAAGACCTCGCGACCAGAAAATCACTACAGGTGAGACAACGGGGTTCAGAAGCGCTGCCCCTGCCATGATTTTAGTCTAATGCCCTAGGGTAAAGGGATTGTTGTTCTAATCCGCCATGGTTTGAGTTGCGACGGGATAACTGAGCTCTTCTTTCGTCCAATGTTCGGATGTTGGAGTAGACCCTAGGTTTCCAACCACCATGGTTCTCATGGTCTTTATCAAAAAAACATTTTACACTACAACACCAGGTCAACCTTCTTGTGAATGGTCTTGGAAGCCTAGGGAAATGGTAGGACATGTGGGACCCACTATGGCCCGATCGTGCATCAACCCACTTCACCTCGATCATTCTTGATCCCTCAGGCTGTTTAAAGACGTTAAAAGGAAGACAGCCCGAGCACTGTTCTTCGCCTGAGACCCTATTGCTCAATCACCAGTAGGGAACCTATGCCAAGGAAAGTTTCCATGCAAGTTTCCTGGAGAGGATCCACGACACAAATATGAAAAATCAATACTCCATCACTGTTGATTGCTTATAGACTCAGTCTGGGGTGAGTTGATCGAAGTGGCATTGGCATTAGGACAAAGAGGGAAGAAACAAATTGACCAACCAGCTTTGCAGGGATCCGTGTTCCTGTTTTGCTGTTTCCTTTGTCTGTCCTCAGGTAGGCTCTTTGGCCGGAGTCTTCAACGAAGCCCACCACTACACTCACCATTACTTGTTCGTGGCCAGGCGTCTCGCACCATCTGCGAGGCTTCCAGAACTCCGGCTTCACTCACGTCGATGCGAATGCTGTGGATCAACAGATCTTCCACAACACTGCCATTCAAGGCCTCCGCCACCTGCGGAAGAAAGAAGGTGGACGCACAAAGCGCGGCTGCAGGGCTGCGGGGCTGCAGGGCTGCAAGGTTGCAGGGTTTGGTTTGTTTCCACTAGGCGAGAGGGGACCGCAGCCCAAAGGCCATCCAATGCTAGCCAGATCATATGAATGTAGGCGCACGCGGTAAAAAGTTAGTTTTCTTCGAGTGACCCCACCATGACATTTCATACATGGATATTCTTTCTGACATTCTATCTGGCAAATTCTGTCTGGCATTTCTATCTGGCAAGTTTATCTGGCATATTCTATCTGACATTCTACCTGGTATTCTATCTGGCACTGTATCTGCCAAATTCTATCTGACATTCTTTCTGGCATTGTATTGGGCACTCTATGTGGCATATTCCATTTGACATTCTATCCGGCACTCAGTCGGGCTTCTTTCTATCTGGCACATTCTATCTGACATTCTATCTAGCATTCTATCTGGTATAATATCTGAGGTTCTATCTGGCATTCTATCTGGCATACTCTATCTGGTATGATATCTAACATTCTATCTGACATTCTTATCTAGTGGTTGAGGTCTGGTGGTGCCCACTGGACTGGGACGCTGCCGGTTGAGGTCCGGTGGTGCCCACTGGACTCGGACGCTGCCGGCTGAGGTTCGGCAATGCACACGACTGCACTCGGGAGCTGGCGGTTGAGGTCCGGCAGTGCCCACTGCGATCGCGAGCTTGTGGTTGAGGTCCGGTAGTGCCCACTGCAATCAAGAGTTGGCGAGGAGATGGCGAGGAGGAGGAGAAGAAGAAGGAGAAGAAAAAGAAGGAGGAGGAGGAGTAGAGCTGAGATAAAATCTAACAACCCTCACCTGGCAGGTGGGGAAATATGTGAGGTTGTTTATATTGACAGGATGATGATGGATGATGCTAGTTTGTCGTAAAGTTGGACTGAAGTATTCTGAAGTCCTCCTCTTCATGCGGAACGTGTTCCTTCGATAATGAGTTTTTCCAGGCAAATTCTTTGTTATTAGCTATTCTGTGGCTTTCAGTCATGGCAGCCTGCTTTCTCACCTGTGAGAGAGGGAGGGCATGGCTTGGCAGAAAACGAAAGCAGCTAGCAGCTAGACACAAGCCTCATGTCTTCTACATCTGTAGACTCCATGCGCACCTCTCCGGACGGGTTCTGGCTGAAGTTCCCCCAGCGGTTGTAGCCCGTGAGCAGGATCGCCGCCTCTGAGGTTACCACCCAGGCCATGAAGCTCCAAACATGGCACGCCATCGACGGACGCTGTGACCGGCCACGAAACGAGAGGCCAATGGCTCGGCGGTTCAGAAGCTGTTCAGGTTGTTTTGGGCGCCTTCCGAGAGCGCAAGTTTCAGCAACCAAACGGATCGAAGTTGCTAGCTAGCTAGCCATAATATGGCTCATATAGGTCAAGGGTGAAGGGATCTGAAACATGCGGCTCCTCCAGGTCCTTCTGTTTGAGCCATGTGCCCAAACAGGAAAATGCGCAAGGAACTGGAAATCGCCAACACTGGAAGGACACTCCACCACGGCAGGATCATGTGTGGTTGTGTGTGATCAGTTCGTCTCTATCATGCTTCTCCGAGTCCCTGGGAGGTTCCTCAGAAAAATCTCTTAACGCATGTCATAGACTCATAGCTGGCCGAGGAGCACGAGGTCACTGCGTAGCCATCCTGAAAACCCGGTCCCCGTCGACCGATATCATATATCTGGGTCCCCCTGCATCTGCCGCTCTCGCACCCGCAGCCATGCCAACGACTACGACGTGGTGGCAAGATTGAAGGGCTTAAAGTTCGGAAGCTGCTCCTGGGCCCTCAGCTGGCTGACATGCTGTTGGGCGGTGGTGACCCATTTTTCCGGGCAAGATCACCGAGACTCGCGGCGTTGGATTTGCAGAGGCAGCTGGGAATGATTGGCAAGACCCATCTTTTTTGGGTGAAAACTCATCTAGATCATCTAGTGCTAGGCCATGCATGTGAACAATCGTTCTCAAAAAAAGCTCAATGTTTCTCCATTGTCCACACCTACCTGCAAGCACACACACACAAACCAACGAAAGTCCGCCCCAACACTGAGGTTGCGGCATCTCCAGGATAGGCCTCTGCAAGCGAGTCACATCCAACCAGGACAGTCTTTTGGACTGCATGCTCTGGAAGCACACTGGTTTGGTGGGCCATGTTGATCTAAAGAAGAAGTCATGACTGGAGAAAAAATTGGGGAAAACTGGAAATAACACCTACCTAAGTGCGTTGTGAAGTGCAATTACGTTCTGCCAACCTGAGTGTGGTGCATTCCGATTGGAACCGATCACGGACAACATTTGGTGTCCCAAGGAGTCCAAGGAGGTTGAGTTTTTGTCTATATATAAATTAAAGGCTGATTTGATGCTGGTCGAACCCGTGAATTGCCCACGCAATTGAGATAGCTTTCAGCATCAGTACTGGCTCAAATTCTGATACCTGGATCCATGTCAAGTGACGGCAGCGCTCTTACTTCCATAAACGGTAGTACATGGTAGTAGTTACTACACCCACTCGCTTATGTTTCACACATCTTGATACAAATTAGTCGCTCAATCGCATGATCTTATCGCAAGTACTTCTCGCAAGCTTGCGTGCCTCCACTTTTTTCGCCACACGCATCCCATGGGCAGGCAAAACCAGTGACCTACGTGTGTCCGCGGGACCCTCGCGCCTGAGCTGTTGTGGGGATCCCTGTAGCCTCGCCGCCCGTTGCAGGGCGGTCGCAGCATTGACCTTGGTTCTTCGCTGACACGGTCTCTTCCGGATGAGAGGTAGAAACCACCAGTGGAAGGAAACCATCAGTTTTACACCGAAAAGGCGCCGCGAAGAACGGAGTTGACCAGTGGCTTGACGTGACGTGGCACCGAAAGGCTCCTTGACAGTGACACATTTCGCAGGCAGGGTGCTGGTAGATGAATGAGGTGACAACCCAACTTCTTTTAGGGGTCACAATCTGGTCCACATGGGGTTGGGGCTCACAGAGTCTGCATCATTTTGCATCTGGGATGCGTTTTCGGACGAGGTGCTGCATGACTCAAGATGCTAGGAGCAACGTGCTCCTCCCCTCGTCCTCAAACTTGCGCACCAAAAGGTCGAGCGCAATTAGCATTGACAAAGGAGGATTGACACAGTCTATCTGCAAAATGGTTTGAATGTTGGTTTGGCTCTAGTGGCATTCTTGTGGCAAGCGCTGCGCGCTGCCTTGCCACGGAACCATGTTGCCTCTCTTGCAACCCCCCCCCCCGCGTCCCCGGCACTGTCGAATTCGGCGCCCCTGAGGGTCACCAAGGCCACCAAGTCCTGGAAAAGGAAAAAGGCAAAGAGAAAAAGAGAGGCCCCCTCAAAGACCTCAAAGAATGTCCCATGAAAACCGCTTCCCATGTTTTTTCTCCATGGTCCTCCGTCCGGTTTGGTCTGTTTTTCATGGCGTGGTTCTTTCTTGATCTTTTTCTGTCTTGTCGGGCCAGGAGTTGGCAGTCCCCCCTGCTAGGCGGATGTCCCATGTTTTGAGGTCTGCGCCAAACAATCCAAAACCACAAGCTATGCAAAACTTCCAAGACAGAAGTGTATCAGCAACATGATCGGTATATATATATATATATATATATTCTCGCTCCACATGGTGTTCTGCAACACTGTGATACGGGATTCCTGCATCCCGGTCCTCAGAGGATTCCTTGGAAGAGATCAGCTTATTCAAACCTCAGCTGCCGGATCTGAGGCCACTTTGCTCGGTGTGGGGTGTCCATTCGAGTCCGAGATCAGTTCTCTAGCCCGTGACAGAATCTCCTCCTGGGATCTGAAGGCTCTGCCTTTTCCATGGAGCAGGGGTGTGCACAGGCTGCGCAGGCTGGGCAGGCTGGCACACCGGAGGCAGTCAGTCCAGCGAGCTCAAGGGTGGGCACCTTCTTCAAACAAACAAAAACCTTTGTCTGCTCAGCAGCTCAGTTGTGTTTTGTTGTTCTGCGGCTTGCTGCCACTTGGAATTCGATATCCAAAAATCCTTTGAAATTGAGCGGCGTACTTTCAGCCGCGCTCTCATGCCTACCATGTCCATGTACTAGCCGCTAGCCATCCTTCACCTCGCTGGGCGAACCAACCACGGCCGACATTGTTCAAAGCCACGAGCAGCATTGGCCCGAGTGACTTTGCATGCATTGACCTGTCTCTGAAGAGACCATCCTAACTCTACATTGATGTTCAAGGAAGGGCGGGCAAGCCGAGACAGCACCCCGTCTGACCCTCACATCCTGTCTCCGCGGTCGCGACGGGCGGAGTCCTTCTCAGTGAGTCTTCGAACTACGCGATATGGTTCCGAGCTGACTTGTTGGGCGTCACTGGAGTGCTGAACCCAGGACTGAACCTGAGATCAAGGAAAGCCGTCCAAGAGATGAAGGGCTTGGATTTGCTATTAGTATATTAGGTATACATATATTGGGTTCCCTATTGGCGCCTTATTGGGTTCTATATTATATATATATACATGGGTTCATATATACATATATATATGCATATAAATTCCCTATTGGCGCCATTAACGACTGAAAATGAACACCAAGTGAACAAGAACGACAGGCTAGTGGCCATGCTTTTGGGATATTCTTTACAGGACGGGACTGTTTACGGGATGAGTCGTGTTGGTCGGTACGAGGTCGAATACTACCAGCCCCTTGTCAAACACTCAAACTGCACCACTCAACACATCAAGTTATATACATGTGGACGGGCCTAGTGTGCAGAATTCCCCATGCCATGTCAAAGGCAAGCATGGAAGGAGCTGAACTACAGTCAGTGACAAAAAACCTTGGAGTCTTAGGAGATTGGGCGAACGGAGCTGAACTTATGTATAAAGGTATTCGGTATTCCATCAAAATCTCCAGAAATGAGCACAAATCATCTGAAACCATGACCGGCCAAGACAAGCATACTCCACTAACCAAGCAAGTAGTAGAGCATCTTGGTTTCACTTCACCCAACTTATTTGAGATGAACGGCTTCTGAAAGCAAAGCTGCGCAGAAGCTTTACTCACTTTACTCGCAAACGCCTAAAATCCGCCTGAATCCAGCGTTTTTGGGGTTCCAACTCAGTGAGGCCCCACAAGTAACCCGCCATGTTCTCTTCCTCCAAGTCACACCGGAGATCCGGACAAGGATCGTACCGCTGGACCGGGAGGGCTCACCATGCCCGGTACCATGGGACTGCCGCTTTGGATCATCCCAGCGTGCCTCAGCGGGTTCTAAATGGAATGCACGTCCCTTCAAAAAGAAGAACTGAAGAGTCAATGCTTCACCATTGGCAAGAGAAAGACTGTTTATGGAACCTTCCGAACCTGCCTAAGATTGCCCGCATTCTGCCGAAAAAGTGAGTGGTTCACCACAAGTCCTACAGGCTACGCCCATTGAACAATAAATTGGTTGGAGCAGTTTTCTCTAAGTGTTCGGGTACCACCATACCGCCGTGAATGGCAAAACATTGCAAAACACAAGGTCCGAGCTTCCAACTGTTCTTTGTTGTGCTTGTTGTGACCTGATGATGTGAAGAGTGAGAAAGTGCGCTACCAACCACAGGGTTGGGGCGGCTTTTGTTGAGCACGAACCAGTTGAATGACACACTATGCCATGTTGCCCTCTTGCATCCTCTCGCCAAAAATTGAAGATGATGGAACAAAGAATTGGACCCTGATTGAAAAAAGAAACAAGTTTCTTTGCACAAAGGGGGGTGTTCCTTGAGTCTATGCCCTCCAACATCCACCAACACCGGTAACCGCAGACCGGTTGCGGCCCCAGCAGTTTGGGCACACCGGGCGCCGGCAGCACGCTCGGGGGCCCTGGTAACGTGCCTCGGCCATAGAGCGCCTGTGGCGCTCTCGGCTGCGAGGTCACCATCTGCGCAGGGCCCACGATCATCGGCGCTTGGCTGTAGGACACCTGAAGCCGAGATGCGCCGGCCTGGAATGTGGAATGTGCGCGGTGCAAAAAAAAAAGCCAACATACAGTTCCAGAACTGGGAAGTGAGATACGAATTGAAGTAGTTCTGGGGGTCGAACTCGTCCAAGTCGAGGCTGAGTGAACCTTGCGTCCCTTAGGGTGCCTTCCTTCGAGTTGTTTTGTCCGTCCTCGACCTATGAGTCTTCCTCACACGGTTTCCCAATCTGACCTTTTTGGGTCACGCTCCAAGGGAGAATCCCAACGCGTGAACTCGGGTCGTTTTTCCGACTTCGTGTCGGACTCGACACTTTAAAAGGAGGCCAAAGAATGAATCACCAGTTGGAGCAAAAGAATCTCAGACCTTAATTTTACTCCGCCTAGAATGGGGCGATGGGCGTCTTCTGGCCACGCTCGGGACTGGCCGACCGTGTCCCGGCACGTGGCACTCATGAGGCGATGGTTCATACAACAGGGATTCTATAGCGCCAAAGCCCCCCCACGTAGCTTCACCCCCAGGGCCCCACCTCACCTCGGCCCCACAGTTCTAAACTTGCCAAAAATCCCCTGCTCCCAACCAGGCGCCGGAGGAATTTGCAGCGCTTGCAAGATGTTGTCCAACTCCTTCTGGATGGCGATCGATTGATTCTGCAGCTCAGCAGAGGTCTGCAGGTGTGTCTCAGCTATCTGACCTCGAGGCATCGCGAGGCGTCGACGGGAAGGTGCAGCTTTGGTGAACCATGCGAACCATGCGAACCAACTGACGAGCTTAGGCAACCCAATGTTCAATCCTCGACTCGACTGAGTGGATGAGAACCCTCTTTGCCAAGTCAATGCTAATTGTTACTGGTGTAAACTCTAGCAAATTGACAAAGTAGAACAGCTCAAACTGATGGGGTAGCACATAACATGCGTCATGTCAGTGCCTAAGCAGCTTCTTCCTTGGAAATGAGAAGGCCATGAAAAGCCTATGCGCATCATCAATTTGGCTCATTTGGCAACGTCTAGCTCAACCATGCTCAACCCAAGGGTACCCACTGCTGCGCGCAGCCATTATGATCTTAAACTTCACCAAACAAAGGAACGCCATGTCCCAATTTTCTCAGCATCCCCTCTCTACTTTGAGGCCAGTCGCGACGACAGAGGGCACACTGTGACACAACGCATCTAACTGCCACAATGCCCCCTTTAGGTTTCCAGGCAGTCTAGGTCTACCATCAATACAGTAATTACACAGTTAATGTTATATATACATCATTTCTTGAAGAAAAGCCAGAAGAGCACCAACCGTCTGGCGGAAACAAAACACGTTTAACGTCTTTCTCATGTCCTCATCCAATCTCTCGGGCTGCCGAAGCAACGATGCTCGTCGAGGGTGCCGAAGCCTTCAGCGTAGACACCTTTGCCGCCTGCGAAGCACATGAGGTGGCATAAGGTCTTGAGCCACTGACCGATCTCGTCAGCACCATCCTGGAGTATTCTCCCCAAGGCTTGTGGAGGATACCCAGCGCGCCCAGATCGCTCAAAGTCCACCCCCTCTGTCGCACCCCAGCGACACGCGCGTGGAACCGAAAAACGCGGTGAAGTTTATGGACCCGTCCCAGTCCATTCACACCGCCGGTGATCCGGGTGGGTGATCCGTTCCTGTCCGAGTCATGATTCGTGGGAACGATATAGAAACGGGGTCAGGTGGAACCGGAAGGCCAAACTGAAAACACCGTGGATCATGAGCTTCGGAAGCTGAAAAGGTCCCAAAATGCCCATCCGAAATTGCCAACATGAAGGCCCGCCACCTGCCATGTTGCTTGGGGGCGTGGTGGGAACCATATAAGTCTTGAGAAGCAACATGGTGGACCTCCGTGATTTGGTTGCTTTGATGATACGCACCAGCGTGCCTTCAAACATCTGCTCCAGCCTCAGGTCGGTGCGGCAATGTCTCGGGGGAACTCAGGCCCGGCAGATTTGGATCCAAAGGCTGGGATGTAGCTTCTTGTTCCTAGTAGGAATGGCCTCCAACCTAGCCTCCACCGAGCGTAGCGTCCTACTAGTAGCGATGGCCTCCAACCTACTAGCAATGGCCTCAACCTAGCAGCGTCCTTGGCTACTAGTAGCAAATTTGGATGTCTGTTTTGGGATTCGTCATGTTGGTTGATCTGGCAGTTCTTTGGTACGTCATGCCAACTGTGTGCTTCGACAAAACAGGCGGGTGGCGGCTGGAAAAAAGCATGCGTTGGAGGGCCAATGCATGGTGTAAAGGGAGGCAGCCCACAGCGCAGGGCAACATCCAAAAAGCATCAAAAAGCTTCTTGAGCACCTGTCCTTTGCCTTAACAAGCATGGATGACCTGGCAGAAAGGGATTGGAGAACTTCCTCTATCATGAAATGAGGCGGTGTTCTACAGTGTTTATGTTGGAATGTGGTAGGGTACACTGGGTGACGGAGTTCTCTGGCACGGCTTCTCTAACTCTTGAAACTGTATGTGAATGTGGACTGACTTAAGCACTTTCTGTCCACACTGTCGAGAATGGACATAGCATGACATATATATATAGTTGTCAGTTGGACATCGTTTCCGCCCGAAAAGAGTGCATGGGAAAAATCGTCGAGGATCATCTGATGCATCTGCATCTTCACATTCTCATTGGCTGAGTGCTTCTGCCCCACCTGGCACGCTGGGTGCTTCTGTCTGGGATTCCTGAGAGGAGCGATGTACACACGTTCGTTCAAACAGGTGGCACTAGTGTTCTGTTCTCATTGACCAGAACGATTCGGGCTGATTGCCTGGCAGTTCGACCTGAACATCTCTGATCGGTCTCAGGTGATCCGTCCGATCCGTCCTTTGTGGTGCTTTCTCTGAGGCCCGGTGGCCTCCAACTCTTCCGCCCAACTGGTCTCCCCCTCAAAAGGCTTGGCATTCATGATGCGGTGACTTCAAAAACTCCAACATCATGAACCAACATACCAAGAGAGGTTAGGTGACCTTCTAGGGCCTTACTGAGGTACCTATGGGATAATCGAACCTAGGGTTCTGACCAACCTCACTCTTCACCACGTCCATCTACTCAATCTACTCCAGGCCTTCCACCACATCCTGTCCGGCCTCCGCAGCCTTCCCCACGAGGGTGGAGGAATTCCCCGCAATGTTTTCCTCAGACCGTCAGAAGTTGGGCGGGCCCGCAATGTGGAGAGAGGGGCGGTGGATGTGTTGTTTGGGTGGTTGGGTGGTATGTGGTCGGAAGTTCGGTGAGTCAGAGCGTGCGCCAAACAAAGGACTTACCCCCCTAGGATTGGAGGGGTGTTGTAGGCGTGGTGGAGGCCAGGCAGGGATCCAAAATAGCGCGCTCTGCGTTGAGAGGAGGATGTTCGGAGTCTGGATGAACAAACCATAACAAACTCAGTGGGCACCAAATGACCAAATACCAAAAATAAGTGATACCTTCAACGGATATAATCACATCCTCCGTCTCTGTATGTCAACTCGGTCGGTGCCAACTGGTGTTTCTCTCTCTCTCTCTCTCTCTCCAGGGTGTTTGGGAAACACATCTTTTCGGGAGCTGACCAAGTCGAGAGCTTTTAGGACCTCGAAAGCCATCAAACGCATACTATAGAATTTGCGATATGGCTGGTTTTCCGGAAGCCATGTTTGTGAGCGAGCCAAGATCTAGGGCCTAAGTGCCTCTCACCATAGCAACCACGCTGAGATTTGCAAGCTGCGAGCATGTTGTGATACTGCTTCTCCTGTGGAAGGCCAAAGAAAGTCGGAGCAGGTCAAAGCATGCATGTACAAGCATCGATGTACGGTGCAAACTGGTATGGGCAGCATTGGAACTTCAATGATTCTGTACCCAAACATAGATAAAGTTGTCTGCTGGCTTTGGATGACTAAGGTGGGCTCACCCCTAGATTCTTCCCCCTTACCAACCCGCTACGAGGGGTCTAACCATGACTTCTAAGTTAAGGCTCCATCCTCTATCGACCCTGTTTGTGCTTCCTCTTTTTCCTTTAACGCATCTTCTTGTCAGCTCAGCTACGGCCGCCAGTCGGCTTGCTGGCGCTAGCCCTAGCCGTTCGCAGCCGCTCGGCCCTCAATGAGTGCTCTGCAGGTGCGATTGCCGGACCTCATACATCTCCTTTTCCGAGTTCCAATCGAAGAGTTGAGGTGGACACATCTCAGGCACTCGCTTCAAACCTCAGGGAGAAGAATAGGAGACGACTCCGGCGAAGGCGCGGAGTCGGATAAGAAACTGACCGCGTCGTCTGCCCAACGCAGATCACCCTACTAAAGTGTTTGGTCATTGACCTGCGTACACGGCTTTTGCCACAGGTACTTGCTGTAATTAGTGGGTGGGCCATGGTGGATCTGTCTGCGGGTCATGGCGAGTAGCAAATGCTCTCGTTCCGGTCGCAATATCCGAAGTGCTTGCACAGGAGCTCGAAATCCTCAGCGCCGTTGGGGTTAACAAAGAGGTGAAACAGGAGAAACCTCAAAAAGTAAGGATATCACAAAGTACAAAAAGTGAAGAAGCCATATACATAGACCCCCAAATAGATAGACAAATAGATAGATGGATGGATGGATGGATAGATAGATGGATGGATGGATAGATGGATGGATAGATAGATTAGATAGATAGCCACTAAAAAAGTATTGGAAACCGTGCCACTATCTATGTGGGGATCGCTATAAGGGGTTCACTACGTTCACTACGAGGTATTTGACCTTCGTGCAGCTCGACCAGAACCTGTCGGAACAAGTGGCGCAGCCGTTCTAGGATCTCCTTGACCCACGGCCTGGCTGCAGTCCTTTGAACGCTGATCCATCGGCCGGTTATATAAATGTTCCCATATTGGTGGTAGGACACCCTACAAAAACCCCGGTTTCTGAACAGCGGTCACACAAATACAAGTGACAGCAAGGAATCGGTCCGTCTTCTTGAGCTGTCCAACTGAATCTTCGAGGTGTACCGGGGAGGGTGCATGTAGCATCAAGTGCCTTCAATGTGTTTGATGCTTCACATGTGTGAACCTCAATCGGAGCTTGTACAGGAGGCGCCGCAAGCCACCCCTTCGGGCAGAGATTGGTCAAGCGGTCTCACCCAGGATTCCAGGATACAAGACTTGGGCCGCTCATGACTCCGTACAACTCTGCTTGACCGTCCAGTCAACAATCATCGTACATATATATATAGTATATGGTAAGAATCTCGGCCGCCAACTTCCCTCCACACAAATGCTTGGTCCCCATTTTAATGAGAAGGGCTTGCACTCGACCTCTGGTTCTTCAGAAATTAACTCGCACTGCCAAATGGTCTCCCTTACAACTGGCTTTGCAACAGGATCTGGTACCAGAAGTCATCAACAAGCCAAGAGTCCCGGTGATAGACCTGCCGGGCACGCCAGAAGGCTTGCTGGCGGAGCCAGGGACGGGTGAAAATACGACGACGAGCCAACGAGCCAGCAGGACATCAGTTTATTACCAACATTGACCGACAAACATCTATACTATTTATATCTAATACCGTCACAGAGTGACCAACGGCTGTGGAATGGAAGCTCGTGCATTGCCTAGTCTTGACCCTTGGATGGCACTTCAGCCTCAGCCCATCTTCATAGCGCAGAACAATTCGAAGGCCCGAGGCATCTTGGGTGCCACCCTGCCCAAGATCAGCTGCGAGTTCTTCCGTCCACCCCCCATGCCCACCCCAGCGGCTTCGCGTCCGACCGTCCGACCGTCCGAAGCCTGGTAGACCAAATCCCTGGTCTCCTGAGGTCGGAAGTCGGAGTATTCGAACAGTCCGACCTCTTCGTCCTGGAGCTCTTCAAACAAGGACACAAAATGCCCTTGTTATGACATTCTATGTCAGAACTTCTCGCATCTTCTGTCAGAATGTCGCATAAGAATCATAAGATGTGAGAAGTTCTGACATTCTACATTCTACAGCGCCCATGCATAATTCCTGGGCTTCGTGAATTTCGTGGACAAGCTTACCTTATACTGTAGCACCACGGCCCGTGAACAACGTCACTATAATATATATATATGTATATATTACTTCAGGAGAAAGAACGTGTTTCCTCTTTCCGACTTTTACAAAGTAGTTAGGCGGATCAGCTGGGGTTAAAATAGGAAGTCCATTCGTGTGTGGGACGGTCAATTACCACGTTCATTAAAATGTAATGCATGTATAACATCAAAGGGCATTGGAGCGATTAAAGGGCTTTGGAGAGAGGACCGCTTGAGCTGCCATAAGTGGATTGCAGAATTCTAAGGGGAAGGGTTGTCAATGGGAAAGCTTCAAGAAGAAAAACTAGTGTCACCTGTCCGAGTCCTGGTGTTGTATTTTTATACATTTACGCATTTATGAAGGTGTAACTATAAATATATATATATATATAGTTATATATAAATACAGTACATACACATACATTTATATACTTGTACGGTCCATACACAAATATGTATGACTACGTGACTACATGTCATGATCCAAAGATTCTCCTGACTGAGATCCGCTGCCCACTTCTCATCACAGCCGCTCACGTGGCTCACCTCCGCCGTGGCGATGTGGATCCCATAGCCGAAGTCCTCCGGTTCAGCGGGGGGTGGCGGGAAAAGTTCCTAGTGTAGACTCTGGATTTTAGGATGGAGGCCATCGCTATTAGGTGGGAGGCCATCGCTAGTAAAAACAAGTTGACTTGGGATTTTCCTCTTCATATGGGAGGTGAAATATGATCAAGAGTCTAGGCCCTACGAGCTGCTCAAAAAGCACCCCCACCCTCCAAGTCACCAGGTCTGACATGGAACTAATAGCTGGGTGCAATTGGTTCCTACGATGCGCAGTAGAATAAGAGACCCCGTGGTCCAGAAGGCACCCCACAAATCCGAGCACAAAAGAGACACCTCTCTCTCTCTCTTTCCCTCCCCTCCTTGAAGACTTCATTCATGGAGTCGGGAAAATGACGGTTGTCCACAAAGATTGTTCCACCAAAGGGCTGATCAAAGAACTCAGCTTGCGGCAAATAATTGCAGTTCTCCGCCCAGGGATTCCCCGCCTGAATCACGGAGCAGCTCGCGACGCGCGCAACGCACGGTGCTGGGTGGCCCACAGATTCCACACGAGCCGAGCACTCTACGCTTTCGAGACTCATGCTCAGTGAGGAAGAATAGTTGAGCTAAGGCCTGGTCATCACCGAATTCTGAGCATTTGGAGCAATTGGCACGATCTAAGCATATCTAAGCATCTTTTCAACTCAATCTCAACGGTCATGTGAGCAGCCTCGAAAACCGCTATTACTTTTTTGTACGAGTACAATCCAGGTTTGCTTTTGCAGGGGCTTTCAAGGAGCTTTCGCAACCAGGTGTGGTGTTATGTGGAAACAGCTCTTCACCGGAACTCACAAACATGGCAAAGCAACTGTTTCAAGATGTTTCAAGCATGGCAATGTTTACCATATATACAAAACTGCATGGACAGCACCTACATAAACAATACATGACATGTACAAGAGATTCGACTTTCGCGAAAGCTTTCGCAACCTGCATTGTGGCGTTCACAAAAAATATGTGATATTATAGTTTGCACACTTTTCATCATAGAGGTTTTTGAAGCTGCTCATGTCATTCAACTACATACTATATACATTGTCATTGTTAGGGTCCACAAATGCATAAGCCTCCAGAGTGGGTTGCCCGCCCCTGAACACATTGAGAACCTTGCCGCCCTGATTTCGGATTCTATTCGGGGCCTGGACCTCAGCTAAGTAGTTCTGCAGCATCATCTTCACCCCAGCATCCACGTCGCAGAGGAGCTCTGGGTGTTCCAAACGGTAGGTTCCCCGGAACTGCGCCACCAAACGCTCATAGGGATCACGTAGAATCCTGTTGCCGCAGCCATAACCGCCGAATCGCAAAGGTGGCGAAGATATAGATCCCCAGCTCAAATCACCAAGGGGCTTGTGCCGTCTACTCTGTGACATGAAACCACGTGAAGTCTCGAGTGACTTCATGGGATCAGCAACGGGATGAAACGAAATGAAACGAACACAACATACAGTGTAACATACCTGCGTAAGCTCATTCTCTTGGACAATACCTCGCCAGCTTCCGCCAGCTTCCTTCGATGTCCGCATCCACCCGGCCGCCCGGTCCCGAAGATGGTCCGGTTGCCGAAGTAGCTCTCAGCCAGGTCTTTGGGCCAAAGCTTACCTGTCAAACGTCGGCCACACGTCGGGGACACATCGGTGACACGGCCAGTGATTTGGACTCCAGGTGGTGATGGAACACCTGGAGCAAAACATTGGCATCAAAATGCATCAATGTTGAATCAAACCGATTTGACCCAGGTCAAGAGCATAGCACCGAGTTCGTGGAGGCTCCGGCAAGAGCCTACCCAACAGTAACCCGACTCCTTCGTGCTGACAAGGCAGGGGGAAAATGGTCCAGTTCAAATGGCTGTGGCCGAAATTTATCCACCCGCCCCTTGTTCTTAGTCTGGCCCCACAACCTCAAAGAATGTTCACGAGACTTGTGAACTATTGGCCATTGATCTACGTGATGTTCAATGATGTTCGAAACTCCTGATATGATAAAACAAAGGTCCTCAAAAGCTTGCAGCTTGCCCCTTCATTCGACTCTCCGAAACACGTCAAAAGCCCTGCCTGGCGTGTACCTGGGCAACGAAAGCAAACCAGTGGAAACCCCGGGGTCGGGGGCGGCCAATTCCGTTTTCTCCAGCCCAATTGGCAGAGGACCTGAGGAGTGGATGGTCTGTAGTGAGAAGCCTCTCAGTGTCTGCGCAGCCCATCTGAGGTTCGCTGCCCCAGTCGCCAGTCATCTCAACAGTCCTTCCCTTTGCTCCTATGAGCTTCTTGTTCCTAGTAGTAAGGCCGGGAGCGCCCCTTAGTAGCGTCCTGCTCCTAGTAGCAACGCGCTTCGTTACTCCTCCCAAAAAGATGCGTAGGAAACAGCCAGCCCACAACTTGCAAGTAGCATCAGTAGCATCAGCCAATGAACTCCCCGAAAGCATTCAGCTCTCAGCTCTCTTGTTCAGAAACAGGGATCACCTGCAGCTCCGTCATGCTTATCAAATGCTCTCACTCTCCCTCCAAACCCGAAGATTCCGTGAAGCGCTCCGAGATCCGATTATATCCGATTCTCCAAGACGCATCATGTCACAGCCTGTGACCTCAGACTTCTCCCATCCCACGCAGTCTTCGATGGGATCGCGACTCCCACAGTCGCCCCACTTGATCCCATAGGCTGCCACCTGCAAGAAGCGGGTGGTGGGGCCGCCAGGCTGGACCAAAAGGCTGTGGACAGCCTGGATTCGATCGGATGTTCTGGGAGAATTCATGGACCATCCAAAAGTCCAAAGGACATGTCATGTGCCATGTCCCAGTTACATCATTCAAATCATTCACGAAGATGCAAGAAGATCCAGAAACGCGAAGGAACATGGTCTCCACGTTTAGCACAAAAAGAAGCTTTGCTTAGGACAGTTCCACAAAGAGTCAAGGAAGCAAGCACACAAACAGGGGCTGTGGCCAGATGACTCCGGAAACACACACATATATATATATATTAAGATATATATATATATATATTAATACAATTGTCAAATACATACTACTATATACAAGACCTTAAGGAGATGATTGCACTCCAAGGCGGCTCCCTTCCAGCTCAATGAGACTGGTTCGTTTCGAACTCGGGTGTTTGGCAGGAAGGGGAACACCCCTGTTTGAGGTCATGGTGACATGGTGCGGGAAGCTTCTGGGCTCTGACCTGTTGAAGAAGGGGAACTTCTTGACCAATTGAGAATTGGAATACCTCCACCTCTTGAAGAGTACTTTGGGAGATTCGAGGCTGCTGAACGTCAGCAAGTCCTTAAGCATAAGCGAAGGGACCATGAGCCACTAACTAATTCCTCCAGTCAACCTCCTCACCGACAGGTCTCAGTAGGTCCCATCTTACCTCGAAGGCCAACATCAGCGGCCCTGGCCTTCTCAGCCACGGTGTGGCCAAAATTGAAGGGCACGTAGCTCTGGGAAAAGCCGGAGGCTCAATCAGGGCACCGCTGGGGATGACGCGGAAAACTCTTCGAAGAAGCTTGATATGTTGGTGATTCGCGTTCAACTCCAATCAAAGCAATGAATGTTTCGACATGGTTCGAGAAATGCCTTGGGGTGATCCTTGACTGCTTATTCAGACGCCAAAGAGCGTCACACCATTGGTGACCCCAGGGTGTTCCAGTACAAGAACACATCACCTTGTCAATTGTGAACACACATATATATATATATATATCCAAGAAACCTGAGCTTCAGAAAAATCAACAAGCTTCTAAAAGTTTTGTACGTGGCAACCCTGGAACAGAGGCTCTAAACGTGTCAGGCCTTTCGAACCGTTCATAATGTATCAATCAATAAGTTCAAATTGGTCTGCAATTTCCTGTAGAGTATTCATATGTTTTCAATATAATGTCAATCTTCTGTAAGTTTGTAGATCTGTCCAGTGTTGGGGACAACCTCTTCCCCAAACCAGTGCTCCAGTGCCTCGGGCCCCCATCACTGCCCAGTGGCCATGACAAGGCTTTTGTTTCGGCGTGCAAGCTGGTGCTGATGTTGCAGCAGGTAGACACCCTGCGAATCCTCACACTCCAAGGCGGCCGCCCACGCCAGAAGCAACGCTCCATGGCCCAAGCGCAGCATCGCCCGTTACGGAGCCCGCCCAGTTCGGTTCGGCAGGTCTGTGTGCGCCCGAGGGTCTCCGGGCACTGAGCCCAAAAGCACCAGGCAATTGGTTCCTTGGGGGTTGAAAGGATTGAAAGGGTGACATGGAACAGGTTCAATTTGCAAAACACGTTCAAACATGTCCACGGGCCTTGTTCCATGTCCACGGCTCTTGTTTCAACTCTTGATGCTGCTCTGGGTGCACCCACATGGGGTTGCATGTTGAGTTGATGTTCATTGAGTTGCCGAGCATCCTGAGGGGAACGACCCCTGACTCTCCAGGCCCCCCGCTAATTCTAAAAGGATATCTAATCAACCCAGGATCTTCTTGGCCTCTCTCTTCCAGTTCTACTGCCATTGGGAGGGCATGCAACAGCTGGAGTTCACTTGAAAAATACTAAACATATATAAACCTTAGGCTTCCTTTGGTTCCTGATCACTATCTCCATAGCCTCCGGGCATTCTATCTGTCCGTTCCACTCCTTCCCCAGCTGGTAGGCCAACAGGTCTGCACAGCGCGCCAGCTCACCACGGTACCGCACGATGTCCTGTCGCGCGAGACCGTCGCCATCGCGTGTCGCGTGTCGCGTTCGTCGCGATGGCAAGGACGTCCCAGACATGACCTGGTCTGATGTTTGGAAGTCAGGACCACATGCGTCGGTCAACGCCTGCAAAGGGCGTCCATGGTTGGTCCTTTCATCTGCTCGGTTTGGACTCGGGTGGGATAAACGCGCCAGGACAGTACGCGCGAAAAGAAACGTCATAAATTAAGGCAAACAAGTGCTGCTCTACCTGAACAGCATATGGAGGAGGGTCAACCAAGGGCCCTGACAAATCTACATCTACATGTTCACACAACTGAAGTGCGGAAGAGATTGGGTGTTGTTGGTCGATGGCCCGGAAACGGCCCTACGTCAGTCCTGTGTCATTTGGCTCACCTCACGCTCAAACTCAGTGCAAAGCTGGTCCACCACTTGCATGCAATAGCTACCTGGGCGGGGCTTCAAGGAGGTCCCTAAGGACAAGTACCTTGGACTCCCTAAACCCATCATCCATGAGTGTGCAGGTGACCAAGAGTCAGCCAATCTCGTGCACGTGCGGTTGAGAACCACCTGGAGGATTGGAGATTTTAAGCTTTGAGATGCTGGGTCTCAACGTGTCTCAACCAAACCAACCAGCCATCAAAGCCCCCAAAGGTTTTGGAAGATTAATTATGTATATATCTATATATATATATATAATCTGTGTGTGTGTGTGGGGCTTGCACCTTTCCAGTGCATCTCATTGCCTTGGACGGCTCGCTCCTTGCGGCGAGAAACGAAAAGCATTGACCTTCGGAGTGTGATCCGGCACTTGCCTTAGACAAACAGCGGCCGCGGTTCAGGAGTGCTGCGTGTGCGTTCAAACTTCTGTCTTCATCTGAATCTGATTTGTCTTATGGAACATCTTTCAATCTCTTTCGGTTGACAATACGTGCCCCCGATTGATGTATTTATGTATTCGTTTAATTGTTCTTTTCGGCATTGATTCTTAATACTTGTCCTACTGGAAATTGACCAAGACAAGGGACAAGGAAAGACTGACTGGAGTCTGTATTTCGTAATTCTAGCTCAGTGAACGATACGATCCCTAAAGTTCCTCCTCTCAATATAACGTTGGCCTAAGGTAGCTATTCATTCTCTTTGTCTTTGAACGTATGGACAGCAGTTAACCCTGATAACACCAGGTCACGTGTCTATAAACCATTCAGCTGCTCAGGTGCTTCGAGAGTCAGTTGCCCCTTGTCCCCTCGCAAGCCCATAATACTGTGGGTTTCCAGTAGGACCCATCAGAATCTCCCCCAAAGACATGGGATCGCATGGGATGGTCAGTGATGAGCGGCAGAGTTCTAGAGGACCATAAGCAAGGATTCGTAGTTCACAACATAATCTGAAGCATAGTATAATATAGACAGCATATGTGTAAATATGCTACTAGTCAGCATATAGTCAGCTATTTATAACTATATGCTTACTATATGCATAATATATTATATACAGTAGTTATAAACTAACAATAATTAGATCTCAAGGACCCTCCGAGCGGACGAGCAAGTTCAGTTGACCCCCATTTCCAGGACTGTCACGGTCTTTGTAAGCATAAGCATGCATAAACCAACCTTCCCCCCAAATCCAGCCGTACCCGGCTCCCACCTTTCTTGGGGGCCCCCTACAGTCCAAAAAGAACCACGCACCGATCCATCTGAAGACTGGGAGAAGCAGACCAATCGGCCGATCCTCCCGATCTTTACGAGGAGCATTTGCCCCGCCATCGCGCCTGCACAGCTTCGCTCCGATGTCGCGTCCCGTGCCCTATCCGATCCCTGCGGTCGAGGCTTGGCCAAGCCGCTTGAGCCTTGTGACGGAATTGTATTGAAGGAAAACCACGGAAACCGCTCCCCCGAGAAAGTTGAAGCCTTGGACCAACAACCGAGGCGAGAGCAGTCCGAACAAACGGTTTCTTCATCCGTGTTCATGTTTTCATCATGTAGCCACTGGTGGCCCTGAAAATCACCAAACGGATGCAAGGACACATCAATGTGTACAGCACACCGTGTTGTTGAGGAAAGCCAGCTCACCCCCCTCAAGAGCAAAGCATTCATTCATCCTATCATATCATCCAATATTTATATAGTGGATCCGCGAACTTTGTTTTTGTGTATGTGTACATCTAATTACATCTAATGGAAATATATCATATTGTTTGTAGATGCCTTTCTCGCCCTGTTGTTTTCCGGTCTTAGGGATGAAATACGATTAAAGCGTATTAAATTGGTAGTCTTTCAACATCAAGAGTTGCCTGGACCTTTAGTCCTTTTCGTGTTCTTTTCTCAAAGAAATCCGTACCAACCACCCGGTCCAACCAGTCTTGAAATTCATGCCCTTCAGGGGCCCCTACCCACATGTCCCCCTATCCCGGACCCTGCCCAGCTAAGTCGCTGATGCTTGAAGGAGAGCGCCCAGACCGATCCTGGCGGCACTTGGAGTCCAACGCCCCGCCCGGCCACGTCGCGTCGGCGCAACGTCCCAGCACCCTCCCCATGTCAGTCCTGCAGCTCTGGCGGGGAGCTCCTACATCACGGGGCTCGGTGCGGTGCGAAAACGATGGATCGACAGATGGAGGAAGCCAAACTGCTTAGACAGGTGGTTCACTAACTGTTGAGGATCATGCGGGGTCCAAATGCCACACACTAGTGGATGATGACAATTGGGAATTTGATGGGCCAAACCAAATCGTTCCACTGGAAATTGAATGGTTCCTCGATGCTTAGGTGCTTAGCCTTAATATCGTTCTCTATCTATCTATCTATCTATCTATCTATCTATCTACCTATCTATCTATCTATCTATCTCTCTCTCTCTCTGTTTCTCTCTCTTTTTACGTCACTACGCAGCTGTGTGCCGTGTTTGGTTTGGTCTCTTCAGTGAAGTTGGGCACCAAAAAAGCCGCTGATAAGCTTCAAACTGGAATACATTCTGGGATTGTCCCAAACCATGGGTGTTCCGCTAGATGACTTTCCAGTAATGTTGACATAGGATTAAGTAACCATCCCCTATTAATCAATCCCAGCTCGACCCCCCCAATACTAAACAAAGTTAAAACCTAGATTTCCACCTTGGCATCACCCTAATATATGTTTTTCCTGCGCAGAAACCTCCCCCTATTAATCAATCCCAGCTGCCCCAGCAAAAATAGAATATATATATATAGTTTACAATCTATTTATAGTTCTTTTATATTACTTTCTTTTTAGCTAGTCTCCAATATCTCAAACCACTCCTCATGGTTCAAACTCTCATCTCCTCATGTCCCATACACTCAACCATCATCCATCATCAGGTCCAGGTCCTCATCTCATCATCCATCAACAGGTCATCACCTTTATTAGGGGGATGTCCTCTTCAATACCTCAAATCTCAAACCTTGTTGAAGCAAGGGGGCGGTTGATTTTAATCCAAGTCACTGAGCTTCCTTCATGTTCAGACTTTGTGTGAGCACGCGTGAAGGACACACCCGGAACCAGTGCCACCGGTGGTCCAAGTCACAGGCCTCGTGCAATTAGGGAATCACACCATGGTGGAGACAGAAAAATCATTCCTTAAAGAATTCCTCAAAAGATCTTACAGTGTAGGCGAGCCCTCTGGATCTTCTGGTCACCTCTATGGGACAGGGACCTCCTCAAGACTTGCGTTCCGCTGGCCATCGCATGGTTAACCACACCAGCAACGCCCAACGCCCGGAACTCGCAAAACGCTCCTTTCATCACCATAGAAGGAGCCCTCAGCCTTAGGGCCATCAACAACCATTGTTGTGCGAACACAGTCAACTTGGGGCAAGTGGGGCATGATATCAACTAAATTCCTTATCAAATGCTGTGTCCCGCCGGGTGTGATGTTGCATACAGTGTTTTGCCATGGTTCCGCCATAACCCTTCCCATTGGCTTCCGGTCACGGCTTGCCATCACTTCCAAGGCACACGTGGCCGTGAGCGAGCCCGGGAACTCCTCCTGGAACATCAAGGAACCCTTGACCAAACTGCTGGTGCTCTGTTAATGCCTTAAAAAGATTGAGTCGTACCAAGAAGTCAGGCCAAAGTCTTTTAGATGTCTTTTGGCATTGATTCTTCAGCTGCACCACAGGTGCTCCGACTCTCCGGGCGTCTTTTCCCGTGAGGGAGTGTAAGAAATAACAGCGAAGACCAAGAACACACCAGAGCGCAGCTTATAGTATTATAATGCATTATGAGGTGGAAAGAACAAACAGGTTGGGTGAAAGGAGTGCAGTTTCCTTCCCTGAGCGACTTCCCACCAGCCCAGCCCAAGTCCTCGGCTATCTGCTCCCCTCGTCGTAGAACGACCTCATGTCATGGGCCGACGGAGGGGGAAACAATCAATTTCGAAACTGTGACCTAAGCAGTGTGAGAACAAACGAAAGTCAAATCACTCAAACAAAGTTCCTCAAGCAGCGTGAGAACATGAGGAGCTCCTGGGCCCCGGAAGAAGCCCATCGAAGGTGACTAACATCTGAGGGGTTTGCCTCTCAGACGAGTCATGCAGAGCGCATGACTTCTTCAGAGGGCCCCTGGGTCGCCGAGGGGCCGCCCTTCCTTACAGTCGACCAACTGGATCTCTGCAAATCCCTCTCCCTCAACTGAAAATCGAAATGATCTATGTTATGAACCCTTCGGCGCAGGCCACCGGCCCAACGGGGAGGCTTAAGGCATAGCGTCAAAAGGCAAGGGTCACCAAATCCGACCTGGAAGAGACCTGGTTGAGGGTGGTAGAAAATGCAAGCACGATGGATTGGAGACCTGTACGGTAGTGCATCTCGCATTTGGTGCACATGTGTATGATGCAAACCTATACGGGAGCAAACACAAGTTCAATCAACCGAAAGTGATGTCACCTGAAGATCTCATCCACAAGAAAATGCATGGTCATCCAAAAATAACATGCAGGAGTGTAGGGAGCCACGGAACCGCTGCACGTTCATCCGTGTACGTGTCACGCGTTAGATGTGACCGCTGAGAACGGGGCGACATCTCAAAGCTGGCACATGGGATGGAAATGACCGGAGCCCTTCTAAAGGTGTGGAAAAACTGGCCTGGTGTGACAGCGGAGGTATGGTTTGGTTTGGCTTGGAAAATGGTTGCAACCGGAGCACTACCTCGGAAAAACTCACATGACCAGGGTGATTCAATCACCTTGCGATGTGAACTACCAGGTTCCTACGAACATGCAGCATACTGTAATTATACTTGTTAGATGCTTGGTTCCATAATTGTGGCATATTGTGGCCCATCCACAAATATGAGATGTTTGAAGAAGGCTAGTTAGTTGATGGTACACTTTCATACACTTTCTATGTATTTAGTTTCCTCTACTATACCAACTTCCGTGCTGTTTGAGCGCCTGTGGCCGGCGGCCGCACCGTGGAAGGGCTGGGGCTTGGCTGGGGCGACCAACGAAGCTGAGCTGAGCGCACGGCTTCCGGCAGCGGCTGTGGGGGGGTTGAGAATGGTTGAGGCGCACATTCTGAAGATGTGAATGGTTGAGGCGCACTTTTTGCGTGGAACGTGGGGCCCGCCCTGCGTGAACTGAACGCAGGGAGCCTAAGCATGGGGGCATGTGCAAAACAAAATGACAATATCCCTGGAAACTGTTGGACGGCGAATTGGGTCCCAAACCTATGGCAGCACCCGACACAAGGCGAAAAACCTCATGGTGGCATATGGTGGAATGCTCACTTGACGGGGACAATAGTCATCTGCTAAGTCACTAGCTTCCAAACTTAACCCAAGTCTGTCAGAGGATTTCTGTGTTGTCCCCAGCATTCATGGCCTACAGTGCGGGACTGTCTGGGGTACTGCATGCTGCTCCAAATGGGAAATGCTTAGCTAGTCATATGACTCATATCTTGATCATGTACAATGTACATTTGAAACTGGTTGTCCCTGTGATGTATGGGAAACTAGGGAACATGAAAAGCCGCATTGAATCGCATTGAACATTTTAAGACTACGTTTTTTTTGCCGTGCAGTGGCCTACAAACGGACAAACGACTGTTACTGCTTTACTGCGACTGGGCCTAACATTGAAACACCGTCTGTTTCACACCTGAGAGGAGTCCTGAGCACAAAAAAAACCGCCCGCCGAGGCACGAAATGATAGAGTTGTGCTTCTGAAGGTTGGTAGAATCATTCAGCGTCAACAGGTGCTCACGTATATTGACTTCAAAGCTCAGATTGCGCAGTCACATTTTTTCGCGTTTTCTAATTTTACCATCGACGGTTGTCTAACAACAAAGGAACATAGTTTCAATGACCTTCCGCCATATACCCGGAACGGTGAGTAAGTGCAGACCGGGGAACAACAACAATGCAACAACCAATGGTGACATTGAAACAAAACGAAGACAACGTCGGCCAATTTTGGTGGGACTGGCCAAGGTTAGTCATATCGCACCTTGGCCTCCCTTGCGGTGAAACATCCTTTTTCCAGGTTTACTTCTTGCACTTGGCTTGCCTCCTACTCCTACTTACTTGTGACTAACAACCGTTGACCAAAAATAAGGTATGAAAGACCTCTAGCATGCATGAGATGAAAATGTGGAAACAATGGGCCGCGCGGGTCTCCAGGGGCTCAACATGTGAGTGTTGAAAACGCAGTGCCTGACGGACATTGAAATATATGTTATGTTGAGATCAATGAAAAAAAACATGCAAATACAGGCGTCTTGTGAAACAACGAAGATAATTAGTAATCAATTGAGAACATGTCCCTGCTGGCGGTGCGGGGCAAAAAATTAGCCATTCAAAAACACGTCCCTGCTGGCGGTGCGGGGCAGCAACACAACTAGGACGGGCAAATTCAGGGCCATGGTTTAAACCCAACAAGTGGAGTGATTGGACATCGATTCCAAATATAATTGAAAAA